TTTTAACATAATCATATACCTAATGGTGCATGATATTGCAAAATAATCTCTTGTAATGGGGCCATATGGCTCATTTTATAATGTCATTAAACTTTGTATTAGTAACGTGCTCAAAGAATTCCATTCACTTATCAGCTTAATTTGTTAAACGAAATGGTCAGCCATCTCCACTTTGAGTTTTAATGATAACATCGCAAAACACGCACACACATGTTTTAACGAAATGGTCAGTGTGTGTATATACACGCACGTATATATATAGAGACGACGCATTCGAATCTCACGCGATCTCCAATGTATACATAATCTTGAATCCTTGATACACACAGACACATATATACAGACACGTAATGATTATGAACCACAAATCACACAACACACACATGCATATATATATGTATGTATATAGTAAAAGGGTCTTAATTTCCGGCATGACGTGTATTTAATTATTAGATGAGCCACAAAATTCCAAGCATCGAATCGGCGCCTAACTCTAAAAACATAAGATGAGCCACACGGTGTGATAGTAAATTGTCTTCTACCAATTGACGTGAAAAAAAGAAATTGTCTTATTAGAGTTTATAATTATTAATCTTTGAATATTTCTGACATGTTGGAATTTTGGTTGGTCGCTTTGATTTTCTCGCCAATCCAAGAACCTTGGTCCATGTAAAATGAGCATTTTCTCTAATGTATATATACACACACACACATATATATATATGTATACATTAAATATATAAAATAAAATTTGGTGGCTATGTAGTTCACTTATATGTAGCCTCCTCTAATATAATCTCATGGAATATTACGTACACCGCATGCTATCCACTGTATGTATATATTTGGTTCTCCCACGTTGTAAAAACATACATATTTTCCAATTACCAAACAACTTTGTTTTTTCATGACGTCCAATCATCATTATTTTTTTTTTCAGAAAATATACGAGCAATCATATAGAGACACAGTACACCACTTGTTCGACGACAATTATTGTTGTTTTTATAGAAAAATAAAATGCGGAAATAAAATAAAACAAATAGAAAAGAACGGAATTCTTTTTATTGCTACATCTCTTCTTATTCTTGTCGAATTACAATGAAAATGACTCACATATTTATAGGAAAACTATGAGACAAATAAAAAGGAAATAGAAATAAATAAGATCGATACACAATATTTGATATAATATTATGTCCATTATTATTTCTAATCATATCTTAAAATCAATATTTCCTTCAATCACATATTTATTTTCCTATTTCAACAGTTTTTGCCTATTAAATTATTTAAAATTTATATTCACTATTTCAATTAAATATAAAACACAAATTACTCCGATATATGCGAACATGGTTGCGTAATTTATTCCTGTTTAGGTTTTAAAAATTGTTCCCGAAATAATTTTAATTGTATGGATGGTAAAAACTCGTCTATCTTTAATTTTATTATTTCTAATAACATATATACACGCATATTTGTGTATACGAGTGTCTCTCTCTATGCATGACGAGGGAGGAAAGTAAAATTCGATGGTGGTGGTAGGGGTGGGACCAGCTTGGCGACACAATCCTCTACATCAGTCCCTCCGTGGACCCCACCCCTCTCAACCATCATTACATGTCCACGTCACCTTTTTTTTGTAAATTTGCTTTTTTGACGCGTCACAAAATTAGTAATTTGAATGCGATTTTTAATTATTATAGTGAAACTTGCATTTTCGTACTAAATTTCATTCAATTATAATAAATTAATGGGACTTATAAATCATATATAGAATTTGTGTGATAATCTTTCGTTGAGTCCACGAACTAATTATTAATGTGTTCTAATTAAATGGCATCATATTTGAAAATCTTATGTTAAATCCAAACAATATAGATATTTTATTTATATTTACTTCTATAGACTAGGGTATAGATTATAATTATAAACGATTTAATCAGTGGCTCTTAACAAAATTATTTACTTACACATTTTATATATAACTTATACGATTGAACTCGAGTGTTTATTCTTATGATTAATATATTATAGTAAATTCCAAAGAAGAAAAATCAATAATTACGGTCTTAGTTAAAACAACACGTACTATAAGTGTAAGTATTATGAAATGCTATTGGAATCAGATTATATGTTTTCCTAGAATTGTCAATAACGAAATTTCAGGTATTTGTAAAATTCAATGTATATAATTATTAACTAAATAAAAGAAAGTACCGTACAACCTTATGTTAGATATAAAAAAAACTTGGAACTTTTTACCTAAATTGAAGTGAAAGACAAATTAAAAACTCGTAATTAAATACGTACAAAATTAGGTTTTTGGATAATTTATTAGGAATAAAAAGAATTATAGTCGTAAACAATCATTTTAATTTGAAAAGTACGATAAATTTAATCAAGTGATGTAATAGTTTTAAAAAAATTGGAAATTCGTGTTTTTATCTAGATCGTAAATCAAATTTTCAATGATTATAAATTTTTATCTAAATATTTATTCTATAAAAAAATGTTTGAAAATAGCATTTTGGTTTAGAAAATTCGGATATTTTTATTTAAAAAATATGAATTTAAAATGAAAAAATAAAATAGGAAACGAATCAGAGTAGCAATCAATCAATCGACGTCGTGGGTTCTCTCGCTTTCCTAACTAAATGGGCCCTCTCTCTCTCTCTCGCTACGCGCCGAAAACCGTATATTCGTATAGCCGCGTTGCGTTTTATTCTTTTATATATATATATATATATATATATATTAAAAATCCCATATTTTAAACTCTCTCATGTTCCCACTCACAAATCCCATATTTTAAAAATCATTTATTATAATTCAAATTTCAAAATCTAAAACTATGAATATAACAATAAATAATAATAAATTATATAATTTAAAATTTTATTATTAGTAATAGAAAAATAAAAAAAATATATAAAACAAGAATACGTTATTTTTTAATTAGGTAAAATGGACAATTCTAATACTTGCTTTGTACGACGACTCGAATTATTCCAAGTAGTCCTTCTAATTGGGTGAATATGTAATGCGGAGTAATTCATAATTTTATGTTTTATAAATCATAAGTTTATTACTACAGTAATTAATTATTATGCTTTGTAATTATACCCAAAGATGCAAACCATTCATATCTTTTTGGCTAATAAAAAATTAACATACGGTTCTCAAACACTATAACTTCAACGTACAAGTCTTTTACAATAATTTCAAAAGTTTTTTAAAAAAAAGTCCTATAATCAAAATGCAAACAAATTATTTAATCGGTCCAAATCATGAACATAAGTGTCAGTTTTTCATCTAATATATATATATATATATATACATATATATATATATAATACATTGGTTTCACATATCGATTGGTTCCCTTCCAATGTTTCATTTATAACATTTTTTATTATTACATATACAAATTACCGATAAAAAAAAGATCGAAACTGAAGAATGCAAATATCAGTTTTTTATCTCCGAAATTCCTCTCTCTCTCTCTCTCTCTCTCTCTCTATGTATATATACATCAATTTTTTTTTCTATATTTAAACTCAGAAGAAAAAATAATGATTTTTGCAATCATCGTTGCAAGGAATCTCATGATTAGCTTCACACTATCGACAAAAACGAATAGGATATTTGATAAGATTTATAAAATACGGCTGTAAGAAAAATTTAAGAGTTTATATACGTAATCTCAAATATATCTTTTGAAAATATCTAGCAAATCATATATATATATATATTACGTCCGTTTCAATTTGACCGCAATCCCTATATATATATATATATATAAGAGTATGCGAGGACATATACAGCAAATAAAGACACGAAGAACGAAGAAATACAAAGGCATTTGAACAGAGGATGGGGTTGAGGGTGATGGTGGCTTTGGTGGTAGGTCCCATTTTGTATAGTTGAATCCACGCGAGATCCTCATCTCTAGACGGCTCTCCTGCTCTATACATATATATATATATATATATGTAGACATGCGTATATGTATATGTATATGTATATGTATATGTGTAGGTACACATTTAGATAATAAAAGAAGTAAAGTGTATGGAATATTTTCAGTTTAGATTTCATTCATTGTTCTACATGCGTGCAAGCGATTGCTGCACAACTTCTCTCACACCGCTATCTTTGTTTCCCCATGTTTTCTTTTTTTTTTTAATATAAAAAATTCTACAGATTTCTATTATATTTCATTTTTTTTTAAACATTGTATTACACCCGACGCTTATTCAAAATTATTGAACCTTTCTCGATACACACACACAGAGAGTACTCGCACACAATCTATAATTAACTAACTAGCAGCTGAATGAATTTCGTCAATTTGTACTTTGAATCTTGATACGAGCTTTATCAAATTTGGTTAATGGAGCCAATATATATGTATATATATATATATATATATATATATATATATATATATATCTACATATATATATATATATATTTATTTT